CAACAAGGGCTCTAAGAAACAGCGCAATGATTGTACCGTTTTTGACGCACGTTTTCCGTCGTAGCGGCGGCGGGCATTGAACGCGGCGGCCGGATGACGGAAATACCACCGTGTGCTTTCAATACGTGTAATACTCGCCGCTCGTCCACTGGCCGCGTGGCCGAGTGGTTTGGGTGTCCGGCTGGAAATCCGGAGGCGGCGAGTTCGCGGCCGGTCATTGTCGATCTTTTTCGCTCGCCTTTGTCCGAAGGTAGCATCCGGCCGGCCGGCAATTGCTAAGAGGGTCCGGTGTGCTATACATAGATTCACGAGGTGGCGGAACGTGACGTTATACTATTTAACGTTAGACGTATTTTCCGGCAAAATCCGATCGATGGCTCATCGCCGATATGTTAGCACAGCAAGGCCGCAATCCACCTCTCGCCTAGGGGAATTCGAAAACAGTTAACATAAGCGCTCGACAGCAAATAACGTAACTTTGAAACAGCAATAACTTAGATGTCATTAGGCCGAATCCTCTGAAACTTGAATTGTCGGTAGGCAGGGCACTCACCACTCACCAGGCGATGCATGGTCATTACGAGCGAGCGAGCGCAGCGAGCGAGCGAGTTCATACTGAATTAAGGGAAAATCCTGAGTATGAGCGTGGGGACGCTCTTCAAAAGCTAATATCTTAGGAATGGGACATCCGATTGACAAGCGGTCTTCTTTACTGAATGTTACTTGAACGTAAGAGTTTTGCGGTGTGATGGCCACCATGCGTTCTTGCCAACCACCGCACATGACGCGTGGTAAAGTTGGACATTTTTTAAGAACCCCCAAAATTGCAACCTCAATAACAACACAACGGTTGGGCCGATTGATTTGAAACTCGGTACACAGTTAGGTCTCCATCAGATAATTCATCTGCATGTGTTAAAGTTGGGGTAGTACAGCACGTGCGCACGTGCAGGGGGCGCTCCCAGATCTCGAGAACGGCTGGGCCGATTGCGCCCAAATTTGGTACGCGGTTGGGGACCAGTTAGTAGGGTGCCGTGCAAAAGTCAGTTTGGACCCCGCTTGCACGTGCGCACGTGCAGGATGCCGCTTCCAGATCTCAGGAACGGCTGGGCCGATTGGGTTTAAATTTGGCACACTGCTAGCGACCGGCTAGAAGGTTGCTTTGCTTCAGCCCGTTGGAAGTACCCGCTCGCCCTTGCGCACGTGCAGGGCTCACTATCTCGCTGGCTCGTTCTTCGCCCAAAAGGCGTTTTACTGGTGTGTTACAGATGTGGTGGACCGACTGCACGTGTACACGTGAGGTGACAGGGTCCGCTTCTCCATCTAAGAAACGGCTGGGTCGATGTCGCTCAAATTTTGCACACTGTTGGGAACCATTTAGACAGGTGGCTGGCGCAAGTCGTCTGGAGTTTCAACTAGCGTGTAGGTACGCACGTGTAGGGACCGCTTTTATATCTCAAGAACTAATAAGCCGATTGCACTCAAATTTGGATTACCGCTTCAGTCGAGTATAAAAAGAGTATGGGTAGGGTATGGGATAGTATTTGTAGGGTATGATAGAGTAGGGTAGGGTAGGGTAGGATAGGGTGGGGTGGAGTTGGTGGGGTTGGGTAGGTAGGGTAGGTAGGGTAGGGTAGGGTAGGGCTGAGGTTAAGTAGTGGCACGGGTTGGGGCAGGGGTAGGGTAGGCTAGGGTTAAGAAGTGGCAGGGCTTGGGACAGGGGTAAAGTAGGGGCAGTGTATGGGAAGTGTAGAAGAGGGGTTGTGTAGGGTTAGTGTAGGGGTAGAGCTGGGTGAGTAGGAGTACGATATGGGTCGCAAACCTGTATTCTAGTCTATATTATGAATTATAAGTTGTCCGTGCGTGCGTGTGTCATGCATTATGTGTCTTATTGCGCCTGAAAGGCGCCGCGTAGCGACGTGAAATTTGGCATGCCGAATCTGTGGGCGTGGGCGGCCTTTGTATTAAACTTTGGGGGTAATCGGCCCAGGGGTGCGCCTTCAGCACGTGCAAAAGGGTGCTCTCATACGCTTAACACGTGGCCGGCGAAAACCGCCAACGGGCGAAAATCGGGCCTGCAGCGCTCCTTTCCCGGGCTTATATCTCGGCAACCGTAAGTCGCAGCGACATGCGGTTTTCACTGATGGATACAGAAGAGATGGGTCTATCGTATGCAATAAGTTTTTTTCTTAGGTATGTACCACGTGCAAAGAAATAGCCTCTAATCTCGAGAAAACGGGCATTTTTTACACATTTCAGGAAAAACGTTGGGATTTGAAAACGATGCACTCGAATGACACGGGATGCATTTCACGGACTAAAAGAGGATCTGACCTTTTCAGAATACATATATTTTTGACCATTCACTTGCACATCTTTATAATTAAACGCTTACAAATTGCAAGTTTTACGCGTAAAAGGCATGGTCGTCTTTGCACCGTCATAATGCCTTGATAACGAAGACTTATGACTAAAAATTTACCATAGAGTGAAAGAACACTCTTTTCTGATCAATATCCACCCAAAATATTTTCAAAAAGTCATCAAGGGCTCTAAGAAACAGAGCAATGATTATACCGTTTTCGACGCATTTTTACCGGTTGAGCGGCGGCGGCCGGGCTTGAACGCGGCACCGGCGCAGTAATATTACCGTGTGGTTTATATTTGTCTAACACTCGCCTTTCAACCGCTGACTGCGCGGCCGAGTGGATAAGATGCGAGTCTCCTAATCCGAATGCGGATGGTTCGCGGCCGGTCAGCAACAAAGTTTTTCGCCCGAATTCGTCCCTAGGTAGCATTCGGCCAGCCGGCAACCGCCGAGAGGGCTGCGAATGTTACATTTTAACGAGCTGGCGTACCGTTAGGGATCGACTCAGCAACAAAGCATTCTTACTCTCATCAATATACCGAAAGCTGGCTATCTAGGGTATGAGTACTAAGTAGTGTATGGGCAGAGTAGGTATGGGCAGGGTAGGGCATGGTTAGGTGACTGGTAGGATAGGGTAGAAGTTGGGTATGGGCCGGGTAGGGTATGGGCAGGGAAGGATAATGGCAGTGTTAGAGTATGGGCAGGGCAGGGTATGGGCAGGGCAGGGTATCTATATTATGATTTATAACATGTCTGTACGACTGTCATGCCTTATGTGTCTTATTGCGCCTGAAAGGCGTCGCGTATCGGCGTGAAATTTGGCATGCCGAATCTGTGGGCGTGGGCGGCCTTTGTATTAAAATTTGGGCGTGGTCGGGCCAGGGGTGCGCCGTCAGCACGCGTTCGCGTGCGCCATAGGGTTAACACGGGAAACGGTCAAATCGACGATCGGGCGAAAACCGGCCTGCGGCGCCCACTTCCCGGGCCCAAAACTCGGCGACAGATTGCCGTAACGAGATGGGGTTGCCACCACTGGATAGAGGAGAGATGGAACTAGCGTATTGATATGGTTTTACAGTATAGCACGCGTCACGTGCAAGACAGCACCCCCAGTTGTGAAAAAATGACCGATTTCGTGCATTGTGGGAAGAAAACCGATGCCGCTGGAAAACAGCTTGACGGAATGAAATCGGTGTTGTATCATTTTGCAGACAAATGTACGTGTAATGATAGGAAAGCAAATAAAAACTGATGATCCGTACCATTTCTTTAATAATGAACAATCAATTTGAAAATTTGATTCGCGCGGAGCGCGATGTCTTTTACAACATCAAAACGTATTGGAAACGTTGATCACTGGCTATGAAACCTACATATTCGGAAAGAGCATTCTTTTCTGACCAATATCCACCCAAAATATTATCGAAAAGTCAATAAACTTTTGTGAAAACGACTCAAGCATGCGACCGTGTTTTGTTAACGTTACGCGTATTTTCCGACGAAATCGGATCGGTGGCTTCGGCAGGCAGGCCATTGAACATGTGACAACAAACGCTAGCGGAAGGCACCTCTCGCCAGGGGAATTCGCCAGTAAATAAAATTAATTTATTCTTGCAATAACTCAGCCACTACTGGGCCGATTGTGCTGAATTTTGGGACTGTCAACGTGCACATATCGAACGACACATTACCATATGTAGGGTGCTAAATGCTAATGCACGTGCACACCTGGAAAGGAGCAGTTTCCTATCTCAAGAACGGCTGGGCCAATTTCTCTCAAACTTGGTACACACTACAGAACCCGTAAAATCAATTAAATACCATACAGTTATCGCGCAAACATGGCCATCTAGTAAATAAATAAAGAACGTAGAAGAACATAGAAGAAGAACGTAGAACGTAGAAGCCCCCTACTTCGGCTTGCCACAGCCTTGACAAAAATTCTTGGCGCCGCCCCTGTCCTTAGACCTCTTATAGGACTTAATACCACGTAAAAACAAATAAATAGCCGTTTTCACGATGGGCTATCCGGCGAGTGCACCTAATTTGACCAAACCTGCACCTAATCTCTTTTACAGCAAGTATCTTTATTTTATGAAATAATTTCAGTGTTTTAATCGATGATGCTATCTGATAATATGACAAAGCAGGCATATAAGCAATTAGTGCAACCCTAGCTGATAGCTACTAAAAGACACCAAACCTAATTTGACAAAATCTGCACCTAACCTGCACCAGATGTGCACCAAATGTGTACCAGATGGCCGTCGTTAAAACGGCTATAGCGAGTAAATATGCTTGTGTTATCAGAAAAAAATGACGCAGACAGTTCAAAACTAAGTGTGGACTGTATATTTGCGGTAAACGTCATTGCACAATGCACGTTGCATATTGGAACCTAAGCATAGAACACAATGTAGAATACAGCACAGTTAACAGAAATAACGCTTCAACCGTCAGGATGGTAAGGCTTTTGAGTGATAAGTCTCGCTACAAAGATATAGGCGACATGATCATTATTGATCATGTTATTAGCCGTCATGGGTGACACGAATGTTTACAGTCATGGGGCGAGATGGATGAAAGTATCTCCAATTCCATCAGGTACTAACTAGATAGACCCCATCCCCGTTTAGAAGTAGCCGCTACCACTGCGGAACCGGTTGAAGGAGCCGCCGCCAAAGCCAGAGCCGTGCAGACGACCTCCGCCGTAGCCGGAGTTGAAGTCAGACTTGAAGCCAGAGTTGAACTTGTTGAAGCCGCTGTTGAACCGCTGTCCGCCGCCGATGAACCTGTTGCCGCCCTTGCCGAAGCCGCTGCCGTAGCCGCTGCCGAAGCCGCTGTTGAAGCGTCCGAAGTTGTTGAAGTGTCCGCCCTTGTTGAACTGTCGGCCACTGAATTGGCTGCCCCTGAACCCGCCGTCAGCCGAGGCGATGGCCACGAGGGCGGCGACGAGGACAACCTGAAGCAGAGGGTCACATGGTGAGACTGGTGGGAGTGGCGAGTCTTTGGATGAATTTTCATAAACATCTGTTTCGGTCAATACCTGTAGACACTGGAATATTGCAGCCAAGCATCAATGACAAATGTCTCCTTTTCTATGAACATAGTTCACACTATTTTCCTTTGCTTCTTTAATATGGCTCTTACCACAAAGCTGAAGTTCATGTTGAGTTCCGTTCGTTGCTCCTTCAGACGAGTATGAATGCCGACTGGATGCTGAGCGTAAGCCGCTGTATGCCTTTATACTTCACTTCACGATACGGCTGCGTAGGGAGGCTTGCAGTTGCATTAGCGGTGTTGTAATCTGTAACTGACCCTGGGCTATATACTGCGCTCCGATGACTGCGTGTCAGTGTAAACTGACCTACCAATGACTACGGAAAGTGATAATATCATTCGACCCTTTCCGGTGAGTGCAGATGTGATTATGCAAGTTCACGTAGATCCTTGATGCAAATCAACATTTTGCGAAACGTATGTATTTCAGCTGAGACAAGTATAATAACACGGAACAAAAATGATAGACGAGCGCGTTTCGGCTAAATCGCCGTCATCAGCGTCTAAAAGGAGAACAAGAGGAGGACAAGGAACTCTTGTTCTCCTTTTAGACGCTGATGACGGCGATTTAGCCGAAACGCGTTCGTCTATCATTTTGGTTCCGTGTTATTTTGCGAAACGTATTACATCCATTGATATCGATTTATGTAGTTACCCTGACCATTTCACAGTTTTTCGCAAATAACTTTTAATGGAGGCATGCTAGGGCAATGGAAACGCCTAAATGTGTTCGGCTTGACGAAACATTTCGACCGATATGCTACATGACCTTTTCCGGTTGGGACATGACCTTGACCTGGGGTCAAATTTTCAAAATGACATTTCAAGGTCAGACAGATTACAGTTTATTCGACGCATCTTGACGAGAGGAACACCATGCTGGCAGAATCGAGTCAAAAGTCGTGACTCGAGTCGTGACTTCTTGCGTGATGCGTCCAACAAGGCTGAGAAAATAGAACTGTTAACAAGGAGAAAGTCGAAGAGCTTGCGATACGTCTCCAGCAAAATATAAGGTTTGGATCGATCGCTGATTTTAGGGGGGGGGGGCAAAAAATATGCTTGCCCCACACCCCGAAGGTGGGATGGCGCCGTGCCCCTGCAGCCCCCCCCCCACCCCGCTTCAGCCGCCCTGGCCTGGGGCCCTTCGGCATGGGGGGCAGTTGGCAGGTCATGTCCCTCATTCAAAAATCCTGTGTGCGCCTGGAAGTGATACAGACCATTGGCAAATGTACACGCTGCACTCACCCGTAATTCACTCGCGTTAGTGTTTGGCCGGCAACAGCCAAGGTCGACATTTCCCAGAAGCAGTTTGCCGCACTCGTAGTTTAAATAACATGGGACTCTGGATCATATCATGGTCATGGTCGGGACCAGAGGGGTGCAGCATGGGGCAGCGCGTCCGCTTCGACAGTCGGCCGCCGCGCCACTCGCCACCACCATGGCGCTCCCGACCGTGCTGCCTGCGCTGCTGCTACTGCTGTTGCTGTCCGGCGCCGCCTCCGCCGCTGCCCCTGCTCCGGAGGGACGTAGCGTGATCGCCGTCTCTCAGAGCGGTATCATGCACCTGGACACGAGCGGTGAGCTGATCGCCTGGCGTCCGGAGGTGTTTCAGTGGTGGCAGGACTGGCACGTGGCCACCAACCCCCGCAACGGCACCGTCTGCTGGGTCCACGCACACGAGGACCAGAACGAGAACGCCCTGCTGCGCTGCGCACCCATAGCCAGCCTGAACGACACCTGGGATCTCCCGCAGCCACCAGAGATCCGCCTCAACTTGATGGACGCATTGGCCTATGATTGGTTGAACGAAAACTGGCACTTCACAACGAGTCGAGTCAGCTACGTCTGCTCCCACCTCTTCGACCAGTGCGTGAAACTGGCTGAGGCGGGCGGTAATGTGCGCTTTTACGCCGCTTACGACATCCCCAACCGGCTTCTTTTTCGGATTGCAACCGAGGAATTCGGTCCTTACAAGCTGCAGGTGTTGAACCTGGACGGGACCGGCCTGCGAGAGCTTCCAACGAGCCTCACCTACCCGGCCGGACTGGCTGTGGATCCGGTGCAGAAGCGCGTTTACATCCTAGACAGTAGAGGTGGGAGTGGCATAGACGTCGAAATCTATCAGGTCAACTATGACGGCGAGAACGACAGGATGATTGCAGCGCGGAACGAGAGGTTCGCCGCCGACTATGTGCGCTCTATCGATGTCATTGACGGCGACATTTTCGTGATGTGGGACGACCAGACGACGGTGAGTCGCGTCTCGGCGTCCGACGGCACCGCGAAGGACCTGGTAGCGAGTGCGGTACGGGGGCAGACGCTGCCTGCGCTGGCCAAGGTGGAAAAGCTGCTCGCCCTCCGCATCGTCTCGCCAGAGACGCAGCCGCAGCAGGTGCAGAACTCTTGCGAGGACGCCGGGTGTCAGCACCTCTGCGTTCCGACGGCGCTGAATGGTACCGCCGGCGCCACCTGTTTCTGCCCGGAGGGAGAGGACCTGGTCGTTCTGGCGTGCTACAAGAGGCACCCTGCCTACGCCGTGGTGGCCAGCGCTGACTCTCTGCAGGTGGTGGATCTGCAGACCGAGCAGGTGACCGAGATCCTCTCCGGTCTCAACAATGTCACCGACTTGGCATTCTTCCGGGCTGGCGACGAGGAGTACCTGCTGTTTTGGTTGGACGCCAGTGGCGTATCCCGTGGTTCGTGGTCGCCGGGCGTAGTCGTCTCGAGTCCCTCTATCGTAGTGCCAGCGGCTGAGAACAAACACATTCTGGGTATGGCTATCGACTGGGATCATCGGCACCTCGTCTGGATGGAGAGGGACGTCACCGTGAAATACGGGAAGTCGTTGGCCGTCAAAATCGCTCCGTTTGACGGGGCGTACATTAAAACGGTGGCAGAACAGTATGGGGAGAACCAGAGTAATATCATAGTAACCGAAAGTGGCGCGGTTGTATCCTATGTATCCTTTGACTGGGGAAAATGGGTTTTCGAAGCAATTGGAATGAATGGCAAGAGCTCTTATGCAAATTTTGCCTTCTCTACCCGTGACCTAAAAGTTCAACCAAGAGCAGTGACAGTCAAACCGCCGTTGGGTCCCGATACTTGGAGGGAGGCCGTTTTCTGGGTAAACACTTCCGCGAACTCAGTCGAGGCTTTCCAACGACCTTGGCAGTTTTCATCGTACAAACTGCGGACGGTGCTGACCCACCCGAGCCTGGAGGATGCAGGCGGATTGGCTGTTTTGGACTCTCGGATGTTCTGGACGGAGCGTTCCACGGGTCGTCTCTGGACGGCCGACAGTAGGACTGACGAGCAGCCACGAGCTCTGCCCACGAAGACCGGCGGAGGACCCTTGCGGGTGCTGCACCCCTGGCTCCAGCCGGCCTCCGCCAAACCCGTCTGTGACCTGCAGCGCAATGGCTGCTCGCATTTCTGTGTAACCATGCTTGTCGACTACAGGCCGACGGGGAAGTGTGTCTGCCCGGATGGCCTAGCTCTCGGTGAAGATATGAAGACCTGTGAGTAGGTGGAAAGCCCTTATCGCTCCTATACTCGATTGGTAGCACATGCACTTTACGCCCAGGGGATGATTATCTAGAAACGGAATCATGTTGTGTATGTATGCATTCACGATCATGAGCGGTTACTGCTCACGATGATGCTGCTGCATCATGTATCGGGAATTCTATACCTTATTTGGGCCGATTCAGCCCACTTGCCACTAAAACGGGTAGCTGCATGAGCTTGCTACTCAAATAGCGTGAATGGGTGAGTTGCTTTGGCTTATTACTTTTGCGGACAGAAAAATAAAGGCGAAAGTGGCACCGTCGTGTTCAGTTTATCGAATCGAATCAAATCACCTACGTGTCGCATGACTCATTACCCATAAAGCTCGGGTGTGACCTATTCGAGTTCCGACGCGTCTTGTGGGTGTACTTTTAAACGTTTAATTGTAGTAAGGCGAGTGTGTGGAGAAGAAAGACGAAGAAGAGGAGCATCTGCATTAGGAAGCCACCTGGGAGGAGGTGAGAGCCATTCCCAACTCATTCTGTTAGAAAATCATGGACAATTTCGTGCTGCGCCGGATCCAACTAACCTCCGTTTCTCTTGAATAACTCGTAACTGTTTCCGCTAAAAAGCGCCCAACCTTTGCCAAAGTTCATTATTTCTTTAACCCTCGCATGTGTAAGGGGGGGGGGGTCGGATGGATCCTCCCATGGTTTTTCGCGAATAACTCGCGTAAAAAGCGGCCGATCGCGACTAAACTTTCAGTACCCTCGCATTGATCAATTTTACACCTACCCTGAAAATTTCATGACCCTGACCCAAATGACCTTTGACCTCATTTCCGAGACCATGTTTGGCCGGAATCGCGATTCCGCGTATGTCGGCTCGCATTAGCCGCGCGTTTGCAAGCTTTTCGTGGTTTCAAACGTTCAAACATGTGATTTGATGTTTCTCCCATGCATTAGGGTGGGTGTCAAGGTCACCTGAAGGTCGCGTCAGGTCATTGACCTTTGGTGACCTCGGGTGACCTCGGTTCACTTTTTCGAGTTTTACATGTTTCTAGGCTAGTTTTTGGAGCTGAATTCGAATTTAGCAACCATTTGAACATTTACGAAGTAGTTTTGGTGCCTTCGTAACATGTTACGAAGCTGTCAGAGGCGGTTGACATGTACTACGAATACCCGTCACAACCCCTACTGGTTGACCTGACCTGATCTGACCCGACCTGGTCTAAATGCTTAAAGACATCATCTGTGATCAAAACTAACACGATATTCGTGATCAGCACCCCGAAACCCCTTAGCAGCCACACTTTACGACTTTCTAATAGGTCCCGATTTTCCCGACTTTGGGTCATTGACCTGACCTGGAAGGTCAACCAATGACCTAGGACCTTAAAATTGGGTATCATCGTCTTTCTCTCGTCACGGGCAACACGCTGGTTTTTTCCGCGAAGCTCTAGCTCGATCAGGGGCCAAACGGCAAGGGGGGTCCAACCGACCCCCCCTTACACATTAGAAGCTGACACGCTGCACACATGCGAGGGTTAAAACTCCTTCCACATCAATTTGACTCAAATATTCATCAATTTTTTTATTGCAAATTTAGCCCGAACCTTTTGAAGGGAAGGATTCACAAGGACAAAGCCCCCGTTAAGCGAAGCTTCTTGCGTTGACCCTTCCCTCTACCCTCCGATCGGGCACTTCCGGTTCTATGGCAGAATTTGGAGTACAAAGATCAACAAGCGCACATATCCACGCACGGCCGGTCCCCTCGCCTGGCTACGGCCTGCCACCAACCGCAACCATACCTGTCAGGAGGCCCATAAACGTCAAGCGCCAGTCGTGCTTCGAACCCGGACTGCTATAAACGGGGATGTGTGCTCTCACCACGGGGAGTCCAACGTTCTACCGAATGAGCTACGGGGCTGGCTATCATCAATCTCAATTTTAAAAATGGTAGTTTTCACCAATAACTAGAAGCGTTTTTTTGGACTTAGAGCCATAGAACAATTTCAGATGAATGAAATATATGTTGGACGGCTCAGTATTTATCAGGTGTACCGCATCTTATACTTCTATTATGATTTTTTACCCCAAAATAGTGCAAAATAGCTCCAGCACGGAATATGATTGATGCCGTCATATATGTTTCTCGTAAGTTTAGAATTCAGGCATCGGTCCAGTGAGGCTAGGAATAATATACGTATGACCATCGGATCCGGCGTGAAAATTATCCTTATTCATGTGTCGCATAACCACGTAACAGAAGGTGACTTACGCTACCTGACGTGACGTGAAGTTGTTTCAAAATGGCATATTATGACCTGAGGCCTGTTTCACTAAAAACTTGTATTTACAAGTGTTTGTAGTTTACAATTCATAAGTTTTTTTACCAACTACGTAAAAACCGATTTCACTAAGCTTCATCGCCAGTGGCACCTCCGATAAGAAAATGTCTGCAAATAAACTTGTAAACAGTAAAAATGTTTTGAATCAAGAACTATAGCATGTTAAAGATATTGCTTCTTTGAATCAAATATTGTCTAGTATTCATGTCAAAAGCTGCCTAATTAAATTATAAATAATGATGCTGTTGGAAAAAGATATAAATGATAGTTCACATTGTCCTATTATTGAAAGAAAATAACACGCAAAACATTTGACAGCAGAAGACTGTTGAATGCAATTATGGCGCGCGAATGACAAAACATGACGATATTTTAATACCGATTATTTTGCTTCTTAGGGTGTGTGATAAGTAAAAATTGAGCATGAAACGACTCAACAAAGCATAGTTGTTCTAAATATATGACTGTTTTGCATTATTACACAAAAAGTATCAAAATTCCGAACGTCAGGACCACTGGAATTTCAGGTTTGTAATTACGATGTTTTCTTTCAAGTTTCTGGTCTTCGTGAAACAGAAAGTTTGCGATTCCCATGTTTTCTAGCAAACTTTTTCTTGTAAAAAAGTTTGCAAATTTTAAACTCAAAATTCATGTTCAAAGGTTTCGTGAAATCCAAATCTCAAATGTTGGTAATTATTTCTTGTAAACTCAAGCTTTTTCTTTGTAAATACAAGTTTTATTTGTTAGTGAAACAGGCCTCAGACCTTGACCGTGAACCGTCCTTAGTATGACACATGCTCACAGGATGCCTTCAATAACTCTTTGACGTCACTTTGACAAGTTTTGGGAAGATGCTATTGATTCCGCCGTCCATAAGTCTTGTCATGTAGAAGCCCAGAAGTTCAGAACTTGACGTTTTACGTGATGATCTTGACCCAAAATGTGACCTCTATAAGGAAATATTAAGATCGCTTTACAAAAGGTCTCGCAGAGAGCCTCAAACGCCGTCTTGCGAGGTTTGATGCACCGTTGGTTCTCAACATAGCGGAGGGTGAGGGGTTCATATGCGATCCGACCCTTGCAGGCGGTCGAATATACATAGCACATACATATGGAATAGCTCAGGCGGTGCCGGGCTAGCATGGACTGGTGACCTTACGTGACTGTCACAGGTTCTGCAAAAACAACGGCAACAACAACTGAGCTTTGTCATTAGGTTCTTACATATTATCTGGAGAAGCCTACACTTTTGCATGAACGCTGCTCTACTGTTCTACTGCTTTACCTTTGAAGCATGAATGCCTGAATGGACGAGCATGTCATAGGTACTGTACCGCAGGCCTTGAATGTGTTTGTGTGTGTGTGTTTTCAGTCGAACAGCGCATATTACACCATATATTAAAATTGTTTGTGTTTATTGATAACATCACATAACCCGGACAGATCAGCAGTAATTGTGAGCATTGCATTGACAGCAAACTCCATTGCACAATGCATGTTGCACATTGACACCACCTGTATCATTCACACAAAGTACGGTACAACACAGTAGGGATATGCGTTACTATAACCTTGGCTCGACTGTCCAGTGTCTCGGAAAGACGGATCAAAGCGTTTCCACCAGGCGCTAACTGAGTTCGTGTTCCGTCCCCGTCTAGAAGTAGCCGCCGCCACTGCGGAACCGGTTGAAGGAGCCGCTGCCAATGTCAGAGCCGTGCAGACGACCTCCGCCGTAGCCGGAGTTGAAGCCAGAGCTGAAGCCAGAGTTGAACTTGTTGAAGCCGCTGTTGAACCGCTGTCCGCCGCCGATGAACCTGTTGCCGCCCTTGCCGAAGCCGCTGTTGAAGCCGCTGTTGAAGCGTCCGAAGTTGTTGAAGCGTCCACCCTTGTTGAACTGTCGGCCACTGAATTGGCTGCCCCTGAACCCGCCGTCAGCCGAGGCGATGGCCACGAGGGCGGCGACGAGGACAACCTGAAGCAGAGCACATGGTAAGACTGGTGTGAGTGGTGAGTATTTTCGGATGAATTTTCACAAGCATTCGTTCCAGTACACACCTGTAGCCGCAATGGAATATTACGGCCAAGTATCAATGCTATTTTTAATATCCTTTCCAGTGACCAGAGCTCACATAATTTTCCTTGCTTCTTGTTATGGCACTTACCACAAGCTTGAAGTTCATGTTGAGTTCCGTTCGTTGTTTCTCAAAAGGAGTTTGAATGCTGACTGACTGCAGACTGTAGGCCACTCTGTGTCTTTATACTCCACGGTTTGGCAACTCTGAAATAGGGGTTTGTAGCAAAACTAAAGGTGTTGTAACTGGTAACTGACCCTGACTTATACTGCGCTCCGATGAATGCGTGCAAGTGTAGTCCACACTGACCTACGGTGGCGGACAATGGCAATATCATACGGCCCTTTCCGGTGTATGCACATTGGTTATATAAGAGTTCACGTAGATCCTTGATGAAATACAACTTTTTGCGAAGGGTAGGTACTCCATTGATTTAGAATTTTATTTAGGTAACAGCGAAGAGCCAAAAGGTCTAATGCAGAGAAAATGTAGGTATGTGCCTGGATAAAGGTCACACGTCGAGGAGTACAGGAATGGGGAGGGTAGACGTTTTTTGTCCTTTTTACCTCGGTTCATGCACCACGTTGTAATAACCGGCAAAGGGATTTAGCCCTCGCCGGCCGAGGACGGGGGGGGGGGGATGCCGCCCCCATAGGCTTCTTCGCGATAGCTCCAGACACGCCGGAGATAGAGAGCTAAAAATTGGCATACCTGACCGTTGATCCAAGCCGCATCTTGTAAGTTGTAACATCAACCGCATTTTCAGGTAAGGTCAGGTCACTGTCCTATGACGTCATAAGTGAACCTCTGCACAGTCCTCTGATGTCGCAACTCCGCAACGCCCTCAGTGCCAGAGGATCTTTCACAGGCAGATGAAACTTACAGGACGTAGAGGTGAGGTGTCACAACTTGGATATCTCTGATTCTTCCTAAAGGTTACATGAGGTCAGGTCGGTCACGTGTCCTCACAAAGTCAAGTCAATAAGTCAGTCTCATTCTCATCAATAAGTCAATGGGGAAAAAGGAAAACTGCTATTTCAGCACCTGAAACGATCTCAAACTATCTCAAGCACACGCAATCGTGATTTCTTGCACTCCTTGCAAGGTTCGATGCTTCACTTTTCTATTGTTGAACTTGCGTGACGTCATTTATGACGTCAATCGGGTCATAAGAGTTTTTCGTCAATAACTCCCGATCAAACTGAGCTCAAACTGAGCTAGTGAGTTGCAGAAGCCGCAACTGGACTCAGAAAGATCTGCCAAATCGAATGAAATTCAACATTATCTCTTTCGACCGGCTCCGTGACCTGGGGGGCGCCGCCCTGAACTTGACCCGAGGTCAACACCTCAAATTGACTACACCCGAACAAAAAATATACCATTCGACGCGCATGAGCGTGCGCGGGGTGAACACGATGAGGCCAGAATCGCGGCTCTGCAACCGTTTTTTGCGAAGTTTTTTTATGAAAACGGAACCTGTACCTGGGGTCACTTGACCTGACCTTATAGGTCACCGGTTGACCTGGTACCTCAAAAGCGGGTACCAGTCGCTGCGTCTCGTGACGAGGAACACGCTCGTTTTTTTCCGTGACGCTCTAGCTCTATCAGGGGCGAAACAGCGAGGGGGTTCGTACCAACCTCTCGGCCGCCGCGTATGTAGAAAACCAATAGGTCCGGCGAGCCTTAAATGAGCTTCAAAGGTTACAATGAGAGGAGCAATCATTTGTTTTCGTTAGTAAACTCATTAATTAGCACGACATAAGCAATATAAAAGAATCTAAAAGAGGTGAAACTTTTCTCATTTTGACACATTTCCTTATCGGAATCTCGTAAGCCAATATAACATGTGGGAACAAAGTCGTAGTCAGACATGTGCACGGATCCGAAAAAAAGGACCTGGGATCTGATCACACAGATCTTGATCTCGGATTCAATGGGATCATAGATCCAACTCTCATTTGTCGCGGCATACATCGGGATCATAGTTCAGAAACTATTTTTATTTTTTGGCCGGAAGATCCAGTGAGAACACAGATCCTTAGTCTCGTCGGCATAGAAATATTGAGATTTTTTATTATTTCGATGGTTTGGTTTCAGGGATATTAGGTATGTGATTACAAGAAGCAACTTATTTATTAGTTTTGTGGCACTTATTGACATGAAACCAGATGGAAACATGGTTCCACAAGTTGCATATGGTGGGATCCACTCGGATCACATATCCCTGTTTTTGATTTATTGTTAGATCCTATGAGATCAAAGATCCACGATATACCTATTTACCACGTGGGATCCATGGGGATCATAGACCCTAGCCTGCCATTTGCTTTGAGATCAACTGAAATTAAAGATCAATCATTTCGGATTCATGCATATAGGTATCTGATCTTAAGGTCTAGCTACACTATGCGGGATCCTACGTCCGTGATCTGCGAGTTTGCGGGTTTTGCAGAAAATCGGTACGCAGGTCAAGTTCAGCTGATAGGAAATACACAGGGTCGGCTACACTGGGGTCACGCAGATTCAGTCAAGGAAATCCCGGACGTTCAAAATAGGAAATGCCGGATAGTCAGGACGGTCAGGATGTTCCGTACCGATATAAAGTTCAGAGCTACGAACTTTTTTGCAGAATCTGCGTGATTGCGTGATATGAGACAGTTGTTGGCGCACTTGGTGGCGCAACGTATGAATCCAAGTAACGTAATTAATAATTGTTTCTTTAATTTTCATGTGTTTTTGATGTTTTATTAACAAAATAAACTAATTAGCCATAAAATAGTATAGAAGATAACAAACCTAAGCGTTTGTTGCGAAATCATTTATTTATTGTTATTATTACGTCAGCATACAATAATTCACGGAAATTCTGGAAAATCGCAGAAACCGATGTCAAGCGAGTCTCGCAATCACGGATCTGCAGATCACGCACGTAATTTCCTGGACGGTCACGCATAGTGCAGCTCAGCCTTTAGTACGGGCCACGGTTCGTTGCGGGACCGTGACCTTACGTGCACTGTAAAAAAATATTGACGAGCTATGTGTCAAAACAAGGGTCTCGAAACAGTCATCAAGTTGTCAATGCTTCCGGTACCTACCACTTGACTAGTTACCGCTTAGTTAGCTTACAGGCTGAGAACTATCCAGATCGTTATGATCCGGTATTGTAATGATACCCTAGGTGTACCTTTGTTTTGAAGTGCTGAATTAACTATCAAGGTTGTTTGACGTTTGTTTTCGCCTCAATCCGAAACGAGGAAGACCCTCATCAAATTATTAGGTGAAAGCCAGCCTCAGGATGATCAAAATACTAGGGGTAGTTTTGTCATAGTAATCTGTGAAGGGTGAGGAACAAGCCGTAGCAATGCACTCGTCACTAAACCAGCCTGAGATTATTCGCCAGGTAGCTGCTGCGTTTCCCTACTTGCTGAATCATGTTTGCAACTTTCCATTTCCAGACACTTTTAACGGCAAATAAATTGTTGGGTTATTTGGAAGGTGAATGACAATTTTATTTCTATAAGTCAATACATTTGTATTTCCGATTGCCTTAAAACTTTTTTTTTAATCGTTTGCGGTAGGTTTTTATTGTTCGCAATAAAGTTGCGCACCTGTGAATCCTTCACTTAATGCGTTCCCGGCTTCCCGGCGCCAGTTGCGCTGTGCCGTGCCGCGTTCGGTCGGGGTGCGCGCGTCTGTGAAGTGCGAGTGTTTATCACTGGGCAAACCTGTATCGTTTCCATTTGTGCAGTGTCTAGTTATGAAGAATTGCTTGCCGATATATGACCTGCAGTGATCGACGTTCTGATTCAATAACTTGCCATAAGCCATTATTCTCAACCAAATCGCGCAGAGACGTTTGCAAAGTTGTCGAGGGGGGGGGGGGGGGGAACAAGAGCGATTTTAAATGAATTGCTCTCCATGCAGTGCAATAGGACTTAGGTTTAATTTTTCGAAAGTTGTGGAGCCGCCCCCGGTGTCCGGCCTGGCCAACTCTCTCAAGAACCGACAGCTAACGGAACACTGAAGTTTCACTACGACGATTTCCGCCAAAGTTATGAAGAAAAGACAAGTGCAAGAAGTACAAAACTTCTCTTGGTAATCAAAACTTAGGTTTGGCAAATTCCAAACCCTAAGTCACTACAACTGTGGATATAAATAAGCTGGTTATTGACGGCCAAGCTCTGGCCAATCTGAGGTTCAGACCTATCATCAAGTTCATGAGGCAGCTGCGGTTGGGCGGCTCACGGGCTCCACTGCATAGGCTCAGACAGGTACTCTACAAAATGTCTTCTGTGTTCTTAGGTTCAGATCTATCGATAGGTATGTGCATGCTTCTGATTCGATTGATAACTGTAAACGGGCGCTGGAAGTGAAAGGTTCGCTTGATATACGAAAGTTGCATTGCAAGAAAGCACATTATTTCAGAAATACACTTTCATTTTATCTTGAGCGTTTTTGGAATGGGCCGGATGAATTCGTCATCAAACTGGTAAGGGATTTCGTTTGAAAACCACCGATATTTAATAATATGATGGTCTTCAAACGAATTCGCTGGCAAATTCGATGACTGGATTGGGCGGCGTAGGATCTGCTGGTCATCTGACTATGGGTTGATTAGGGCCTACTTGGGCTCCTAGTTTTGACCTAGTTTGAGCTTCATTCGTTAAGTAGGAACAAGACGATGCTTCTTTTGAACATCGTCACTAAACAAGCCGCCCTCGTTTTGACATTGTTTTTCGTTATTATTGTTACTAGGTACTTTGTTATCATACACAGCATTAACGAGGACCTGCTTCCAAAACAAGGCAGAAACGCTCCAGCTATTTTTGGGACGTGGTAAAAACTAACCGACACCTGGTAACTGTCATCTGACGAACACAAAACAAGCCAGGGGCTCGCAGCGTGTGTCAAAAGTAGGATGCAAAACTAGTCTGTACCCCCGACATTTAGCGTTGAGAATCATTTGACGAGGGGCTAGTCAATATTTTTTACAGTGTGACCTTGACCGGCCGGGCTGGGCTGCGGGTCAGCCGCCCGGGCGTCCGAAGGTCAGTGTTGTCCGAGTGATGCTCTTGTGGAGAAAACAACTGCGGTGCCTTGAACGGCGCGTGCTGCCCGAGACGCTCCGGGCACGGCGCAACAAAACAAGGTCAATATTTGGTCTAAGCCACGGGGGTCTGGAAGCTGGCCGAGAGAGGAGACTTTTGGAAGATTTACATAGTATGTTTCTTGTTTTGAAAAGCATTTCATATTATGCTTATAACCAAAGATCTCGGAGGATCAAATCGCGAGAATAGCTAACTTTACGCTAACATTGTTATATGTAGTTACAATTCCGGTCAGGTCGCTCAAGTGGCCTGGTGTTCTGACGTAACAGGTCACCACCAGACAGCTTGTGCAAAAACAACACCAATAACAACAACGCATTGCCAGTAGGTGCTAAAATATCATCGGAGAGAGCCAAAAATTAATGCATGCATGCTACTGTACTGTTCTACTGCTTTTGCTTTGAAGAATGATGAACATTTGAAGAATGATTAGCCGACTTGGCAAACATGTCCTATCATATTATTTCGCATGCCTTGGCCAGTGCTTTCTCGAAAATCACGCAACGCATACCATAACACCGCGTAAGAATATTTGTGTTTATTGATAAGATGACATTCACAGACAAATCAGCATCAGTGTGTACTGTGCATTGACAGTAAGCTTCATTGGATACTGTACTTAAGACATGGACATGCCACACAATGTACTTGCATGGTTCAAAGCAATAGCTACACACATTACCACACTCAAACATTCATGATGGTAAGTCTGTGTGTGATTGGTCACTTATTGGTCACTCACTGAGATACAGACGACAATCATCAGGCATCGTGTGTGACACGGTTGTTTAAGATCTTGGCGAGACGGATGAAAGTGTCTCCATCAGGTACTAATTCGACTCCGTCCCCTTCTAGAAGTAGCCGCCGCCGCTGCGGAACCGGTTGAAGGAGCCGCCGCCAATGCCAGAGCCGTGCAGACGACCTCCGCCGTAGCCGGAGTTGAAGCCAGAGTTGAAGCCAGAGTTGAACTTGTTGAAGCCGCTGTTGAGCCGCTGTCCGCCGCCGATGAACCTGTTGCCGCCCCTGCCGTAGCCGCTGCCGAAGTTGCTGACGCCGCCGCCGAAGCCGCTGTTCAGGCGTCCAACGTTGCTGAATCCACCCCTGTTGAACTGTCCACCACCGTAGCTGATTGGCCTGAACCCTCCGGCAGCCGAGACAACGGCCACCAGGGCAGCGACGAGGACAACCTGAAGCGGAAAGTCATAGATTGATCAGAAACAGCCCGTTATGAGGCTCATCATCATCCGAGAAGTGACAAGTGCTGGATGTTATACCAAAAATCCTCAAACAACACATACCAACCTCGATAGGAAAGAAAAAAATGTGAAAAGAACAAAAAAAAAAAACAGAACAAAAACAAAGACAAAAACAAACAAAAACCGTTACATATCAAAAGGGTACTATATTTTCATTATGCTAATACCAATGTGATACTATTTGGTTACGATTGCTGTGGAATTTGAGTGAATTAAGTCGGGCCCCGTAGGGTTCGAAATTGAAACCTATGCAGACTGATCGAAGGATAGATCGCTTTGCGACCATTATATAGTTAGATAATTTTAATTTTCTTCTTATAAACTTCGGTCCATGCACTTAATTTTACCAAATTCATGACTGACTACAAACACGCTAATTGGCAAGTTAAAATGTTAATATTGCATGGATTGTATGGAATATAGTTCGAATGAAATTTATATTGCATGGATTTTCTGCAAAGTACAAAAAGCTAGGCAATTGTCACTTACCACAAAATAGGAGTTCATTGTGGGTTTTGGTTAGGAGTTTGTATCTCACTGCAGGACTTTGATCGAGTGGATACCTGAGCTCCATTGCAGCTTGCTTTTATACAGCCGTGAGATGCTAGCCTTGGAAAATACACACGGCAAAGCCTGCAAACTGCAGGCGGCGCTTCGGTTACGAAACTGATCTTATCTTGTGGAGTACGCTAGTGATCATTGGCAAGCGTCCACTGAGTCATCAGAGTGTGCATTGTCTTGTGTAGAAGACATAAAATATAGCAGAAATATAGTGAATCAGGTACTCACGCAACATCTGCTATTCTCTCACGTTTGAAAGAGCAAGTGGTATCAAGGTCACCATATTTGTCTAAACTCATCCCTAAGCCGTAGAAATAGGTCACGGGGTTTTCGCATTGTCTGCAGTTGCATTTCCCGAGGCTGAGTGAAACAGCGTAATGAACAAAGGAACGTTCAGCTGAGTAGTGACAGGATTCAAGCACAAACTCGTGTCGTTAAGTGTCAATTTCCAGTCATCGATCATTGCGTGTATTTGACCAAATACACTTTGTAATTATTATGCACTTATGTATAGGTATTGACTTAACCCTCGCCCGTAAACGGTGTTTTGCCACCTTCGCCCATGCAGGGGGGGGGGGGTTGGTGCGACCCCCCCCCTGGCGTTTGAAAACGGAGCGTCGTAGAGCTTAGCGGAAAAGACCAAGGGATTGCTCTCAACGAGATCTCGCGATTGGTGGTATATTTTTTGGTCCTAGGTCAACATTTGACCTACTTATGACCGGTCAAAGGTCAAATTTTCGGAAAAATCTAACTTTTTTTCAGATTTCCGCGCCGATTGCGGCAAAACGGTAAGAGATATCGACTTGAAACCTTCACTATCGTGATCCTTGATCAATCCTCTATCGTTTGGTGTGTATTTCGATGTCATAACTCTAAAAATGATGCGTTGGGAGCATCGGAAGTCTGCAAGGTCATTTGTGCATTGGGTCACGTCAGGCGTGTGACGTCACTGACCTGACTTTTTTTTTTTTTTTTTTTTTGCTCCGCCAGCCTAAAGCCAGTCTGGAGCCGGGGGTCATTACATCTGGCAATTTTGGCCAGGAACAAAGTTTTACGTTAAGCCGGTTTATGTGAACCCGGAAGCAATAGCAACGTGGGAGCCTATCCTTAGTGTGTGTGAGCAAATCTAATGGGGGAACTTACTTTTGCCGAAGTGCCGAAAAAGCCGGAACAAAACACAGATGAAGAAACGGTAACATTTATTTACATCACATATTCATACACTTGTGTAAGGTGTCAGTGTACTGGTGTGGGGTGTATTGGTCAGGGAAAAAGTCCTAAATAACAAAAAACCTGACGCCTATTGCAAAGGGGAAAACCCCGCGCTGAAGCCAAAGAGCGCGGGGAAAAAACCCCTACAGTTGTTTAATCTAATGTGTAGGAGGTAAAAGGGAAGGGATAATGACGGCCCCGTGCTGGGGAGGGGCGCCCGGCGACCACAGGCGTAAACACCTTGGCTGCCAGTCGGCGTTGGCTCTCAACGACTCCGCCTTAGCGGGTCGGAGAGCGCAATAGGGGGCCGCCAGTTACACATGCCAGTTACACAGTGCAAGAAACATCAATGGCTAGAGCGCGAGCACACGATGCAATCAAAAGGAGAATGTAAATAAACGACCGGGATTTAGGTTGTACGAGTAAGGAACTGGGCGCCGCGTTACTATCGTCCCCACGGCGCCCACTCATGCCCGTGCTCGGGGTTCCTTTTGTCTCAGTGAGGTGGTTTCTATATGCTGTTAATAAGACGTGCCTCCTGGAGAAAGATAAAAAGCAAATCATGAAGCTCTGGATGATGGTCGCCAAGGATAGTTGGCAAATCCAGACTGAGGCCATGTGTGGTAATGTGTCTTATAATGTGTCTTCTGTGGTGCTGTAGGCGTGGGCAGTGGAGTATGAAGTGCTGTATTGTGTATCTTGGATGTGTGGGGCAATAGTGACATATTGGAGGTGGTACACGGTCGTATATATGCGAGTGTGTAAGATACGTGTGTCCTAGCCTCAGTCTGGCCAGCACGGTTTCTTTTTGTCTTGTAGGTTGATTTGAAGAAGAGAAATGGGAAATTGATGGTTTAATCGGATAGAGATGTGGATGTTTGATTGTGTCCCAGTCTCTTTGTCGAAGTTGCATAAAAGAGACGTAAATATGGTTGATGAAATCTATAACTGGAAGAGGAAGATGATTTCGAGACGAGAAGAGGAGTCCAGTTTTGGCAAGGTTATCTGCCCGTTCGTTACCTTGGATCCCCATATGTGCGGGGATCCAGAGGATTCTTACTTCTTTCTTTTCTTTCTGTAGAGCAATCAGCTGCTTTTTTATTTTGTATACCAAAGGATGTGTTTCCGTTTTTCTTGTCGTCAAAGTCCTAACAGAGGAAGCCGAGTCTGTGCATATCACTGCTTTCTGAAAATGTTTGCTTGCAATATATTTAAGAGCTGAACTAATCGCTATCAATTCAGCGCTGAATATGCTGTGGCTGTCGTGAAGTCTGTTTGTTTTTTCAAAATTTTGCGAAGTTATAGCTGCGGCAGAGTGTCCGTCTTTCCGTGAACCATCGGTATAAATATATGCGTCTGCCTGATGTTCTTCTTTGTATTCAAAGAACAGCTGTTGTGCTTCCTCTTTTGTAATTTTTGTCTTTTTATCGGTAAATAGGAAATCGATATGCTTGATTTGTTGTAAGAAGAAAGAGGAAAGTGAAGGTGAGGGCATGATGTTCGGATGGGATATTCGAAAGACGTTGAGTACCATTTGAATTCGAGAGGCGATAACCAGGAAGCGTCTTTGAGGAGCAGTCGGCTGCAGATCTTCAGTGTAACGGTTATTTAGTATTTTATATGTGTGGTGAGAGGGGAAGGAGCACGACCGAGCGAAGAACCGAAGGAGCTGGTATTTCCGACGCTGTACAAGTAGAGGCAGATTTAGTTCAATATGGAGACATATTATGTTTGTCGTGGACATCGCGCCCGCAACTATGCGGAGTGCTTTGTTCTGGATTATTTGCAATGACTCAATTTTCTTAGAAGCTATATCATCAAATAGAAAAGCATTAAAGTCCAAGATAGGGCGAATTAGGGAAATGTATAGTCTGAGAAGTGTGCTTCTATCTGCGCCCCACTTCTTACCAGCTATACATTTAAGTATGTTTATACGTCTTTCGCAGCGTTGGGCTATATCTTCGAAGTGTTTATTGAATGTGAGTTTATTGTCTAGGGTGACTCCCAAATATTTAAATTGGTTTACATATTCAATAGGTATGTTGTTTATCTGTAGTCTAGGGGGGTTAGTAAAACGGCTTCTAGGGGGAGCGAATATCATTGCCACTGTTTTAATTGGGGACACGGTAAGTCCCCATTTGTCGCACCACTTTCTAATATCATCAAGTGCTGTGTTCATGCAAGCATACGCCGTTTGTACAGATGAATCAGTAACCCAGACGGCTATGTCATCGGCATATATTGAAAATTTAAGTTTAGCATTATGTGTTTCTATTATGTCATCAATCATTACAAGGAAAAGGGTCGGGGACAACACACTGCCTTGTGGTAGCCCGTGCTCCTGTCGGAAAGGAGGTGAATATGTGTTGCCGCATCTTACGTTAAAAGTTCGGTTGCTCAGAAAGTTCGTAATGTATGAGGCCATTCTGCCCCGCAATCCTTTTTTATGAAGTTTTATTTGGAGGGCAATTTTATTTACTTTATCGAATGCGTTTTGGAGATCAATAAAGACAGCAAGGGTATATTTTCTTGTTTGAAAACCACGTTGGATATCATCTACAATGTATGTTATATTGTCTGCAGTTGATCGGCCGTGACGAAAGCCATTTTGAAACGGAGAGAGAAGGGAGTTCGTTTCTAGGTAAGCCCTAATTCGCCCATTGACCATACGTTCCATTATTTTAGAGGCACAACTAATTAGAGAGATAGGACGATAGCTAGATGGGTTAGAAGGTGGTTTCCTAGGCTTTAGGATAGGTATAAGGGTGCTGGTGCGCCAGGGTTCTGGGTAGCTGTTGTTCTCCCATAGAGAGTTTAGGCAAGACAAAAAGGTATTGAGACCGGATTCAGTCAGATTTTTGAAAAAGGAGTAAGAAATCTGATCCGGTCCTACTGATGTGTTGCCACACCGCGAGATGGCATGTGTAAGTTCGTGGTTCGTAAATGGTGTGTTGTACAGTTCACGGTTGCTTGAGTGAAAGTTCAGTGTAGACAGTTCGTGTGCGAGTGTTTCGGTGAGCTGCGGTGTGTATTGTTGTGCTGAGGAGATGTTCGCGTAATGCTGTGCGAAGAGTGTTGCAACGTCTGAAGGGATAGTGTAGTGGGTGTTGTTAATGTGAAGATGAGGGATTTTGTAAGGGTTGCTGCGTCTTGCCGAGAAACATTTTATTAGTGACCAAATTTTGGACAAAGGAGTAAAACGATTAAAGTTATTTGAAAAGTTTTGCCAGCCGGTGGTTTTAGCATGGTTAATTATCAAAGAGGCTTCATGTTTTGCTTTGCGATAGGCTTCCGCATTTGCTTCGCACACGCGGCGGTGGAACTGGCGGAGTGCGCGTTTCCGAAGGGCTACGGCGCGTTGGCAGTCTGCATTCCACCAGGGAGCTCTTCTATGTTCTTTTGGGGGGCCAGTATGGGGGATGTTTTGATGCGCAGCGGCAAGAATGACGTTAAGAAATGTGTTTATATCTGGTGGAGGTGTAGACAATGATTCGTCAATATACTTTTGGAAAGACGCCCAGTCGGCCTTCTTAAAGTTCCACCTTGGCAAAAAATTAAAGTTTGTCTGTCCTGAAGGGACGTTGAGTAAATAATGTATGGGGTAGTGGTCACTGAAAAGAGAGTCATCTTCAACGTGTTGTGTAACAAGTGTCGCGGTGTTTGTGTCTGTAATGGCGAGATCTAGGACGGAGTGTACGACCTCTCCATTGCGTGTGCGTGTGAATGTGGGCGTGAGATTGTTAATGAGTATTAAATCGAGTGAGTTAATTACGTTAAGAAGTTGTGTTCCGCGCGAGTTTGTTTCTGTGCACCCCCATGTGCGGTGGTGTGCATTGAAGTCCCCCATGATTATAAAAGGCGGAGAAAGTTGGGAGAAAAGGTCTAGGAGTAGAGGACAGGAAAGTGGGAGGCTAGGTGAAAGGTAGATCGAAAGGACAGTGAGGTCTAGTTGTGCAATTTTAACTTTTACTCCGACTGCGTTAAGCGTAGTTCGGAGGAAAATTTCATGATGCAAAAGTTTATTTGAAACGTAAAGAGCCGAGCCGCCCCGGCGGTGGGTTTCATTTACGTTATTTGTATATAAAGAGAAATCACGAATGT